GGCTGCTTCATCCAGCGCCACCCATCCATTGGTCATTGAGGGCGATGGCCCCATGATACGCAAGGTCTTGTAAGGAGACGACAAAGCTCCTTCACGCAACCGCTGCCAGCGCTTGGCCTTCACTTGAGCCAGCACTGCAAACGGCGGCATCTCCTTACAATTGGCCCCCAGCTTCCTCATTTGAGAGCGCAACCTTTCTTCGGTACCATGTCTAGCCGCACACGGCCAGTACGCAGGGGCGACACCAGTCTCCCGCAACAGCAGCCTTATAGCGCTTGAACTGATGCACCTCCCCTTCGACCCTTCCGTTGGCCTCGGGCTCGTCCCCGGCATTCAAAGTTTGGTGAATCTGCCGTGATTCACACCACTTGGCAATGCTTTTGGTTGTGAAAGACCTTTCACGGTCCGAATGCAGTCGGTACACCGGTATCCCTAAGGACCGTGCCCGAGCATGCAGCTTCGACAATGCCTTTGTAACCTCATCCTGATGCCTGGATGCAATGGGTTCCATGAACGTTATGTTCACCACACTAGGGGATCATCTGCTCTTATCTACTTATAACCATACTTATATCAGGGATAAGTTATGATTTTTCTCTGTTAAGTCATGTTATAACTTTTTAAGTAGAAATAAGTTAGTCTTTTTTTGGCCTTACTTAGTTCGTACTTATGGTACTGTTCTTGTTGTGGTAGGGTTTGAAAAAGTTATTTTTACTTATGTTAGTTATCATTTTGCAATTTTTTGCGTTCTTTGTTAGTTGGATGTGTGTTTTTTTGATGCAGACAACATGGCTCAAGTTTTGAAAGAAGTGGTAGCGTCACAGAAGTTTTTGTCCGGCCTTCGTACTTTAAGTCACTATGTTGAGTTGCAACGGAAGCAGCTTGAGCGGCTACGTCCTATAATCAACAAGAGTTTCATGTCTGTGGACATGGCTTCCAGGGTAGTGAATTCTTTTTCTGAAGAAATTTGGGACCACAGAGTGCTCAACGATTTGAAAGAGTTGATCGCTGCCAAGATTTCAGAGTGCGAGGATGATGCGAATCGTGCTTCCTTGCAAGACTTTTGCGCCTTGCCGTGTCTTTTGAGTAGGGAATGGTGGCACGTTTTGGAGTCACGCAAAAGCGGAATTTCCAAGTTGGAGGATATCACAGCTTTGTGCGGCAAGCTGTCGTTAAGAAATCCAACAGAGGCCACTTATGGCATGGTGGTTTGTCTTGCTTTTTTTTCAGAATATGGCGAGGCTTGGAAGGAACCTGAGCAGCTTTCACTCTTGAAGCAGCACAAGAGCAAAATCAAGAAGTGGCTGTCAAAATTTGGCCCGTGTTCAACACGTTTGGCAACATTGCCAGAGTCGCGGGAAGATTTGCCACATGATACAGGCAAAAGAGAAAGTCACGCCTAAGTCATGCCTACGGGGCTTCCCCCATTGTCACCGCTGTTTCCAAAAGTCACGCCTAAGTCATGCCTAAAAGGCTTTCCTGCTTGTCACCGCAATCATTCCGGCACTCATTCAATTGATGTGGTTTCAAACTGTTCTTGTGGCCAATGGTTTCGATTGAGTTGTTTAACAATCGAATTCCACATTCGCTAAGAAAAATCTCACATGTTCCTTGTCATAAGGAACACACCCAGCATTGCAGCACTTATTCAATTGATGGAGTAAAATCCTTCATTCCAACCAGGCAGCAGCACAGCAGCAGGAGGCAGCAGCAGGCAAACAGCAGACAGGCACCAGAGGCAATCAGGTTCCTGGCAGTAGTAGGAGAAGAAACGACGTCAAAACGACGTACAAATGACGTATGAAACGACGTTGGAACCAGACCCTAGCCACTCCCGGCCCAGAATGGGCTGCACCTATCCCTGCTGCACCCGCAGAGCTTTCCAGCCGGAAGATAAACCCATGGGCGAAGGAAAAGGCAAGCACCCAACCAGCTCGACACGACAGGAGTTCCCACTGGCACCGCCGGATCCAAACAACAACAATGCAAATCCCGTAAGTAGGCGTTGATAGCGAAACACATAGGCACCGCAACAAAACTCAAGAAAAGTGCGCCAAAAACGCAAGAGGTCGCTTGTGTTTAGGGGGTAGGCACGACTTCTTACGTTAACTTCTCCGCAGCTATATAATTCTGGCATTCTGCAGCCCGTGGGCACGACATTGTCTGTTCCCTGTATGCAGGGTGTCTTGTATCCTGATGGATCTACCATGGGGCACCCAAGCATCATGTCTTTGGAGCGTTTGCGCAGGATTGTTGCGAATTTTCGCTTGCGTGATCGATCCAAGGGAATGGATGCTTCACTTCCGGTTAAAGCGCCGGAAGCAAGTGTTGATGGAGTTGTGCAGTTAATGACCGCTTGCGCTGGACTCGTGAAGTCCGCGAGCAGTAGTTCTGCGGTTAGTCAAGCAGAACCACCAAGGCTGCGATTGTTTTCAAAAAGTCCAGATCCGAAAGGGTCGTCATCTTTGTTAGCCATCAAAGACAAGGAAGAGAACGCCGAGGGTGTTCCGGGCGACCTTGCCCCTACGGGGACGGGCGCGAAAACGGCCCCAACTCCTGCACAGACCATTTCTGCTTTGAAGACAGGTTTGTCTTCAAAAGAAAAAGAGGAGTCACAGCGCATGGCGCGCCCTGCGGCTGCCAAGTCTTCTTTGAAGCGACCACACACACACTTACACACACACACACTTTCACACACAGAGGCTACTACACAGAGGCTTTTACACACAGACGCTTTTACACACAGACGCTTTTGCACACAAACAGTTTTACGCAGACACTTTTACACAAACGCTTTTACACACAGACGCTTTTACACACAGACCCTTTTACACACAGACACTTTTACACACAGACACTTTTACACAAAGAAGCCGTTACACACAGAAGCTTTTACACACAGACGCTCTTACACAGAAGCTTTTACACACAGACTCCTTTACACACAGACGCTTTTACACACAGACGCTTTTACACACAAAAGGTCTTACACACAAAGGCTTTTACACACAGACGGTTTTACACACAGACGCTTCTACACGCAGACGCTTTTACACGCAGATGCGTTTTACACACGCACACACGCTTTCACGCACACACGCTTTTACACACAGACGCGTTTACACACAGACGCTTTTACACACAGAGGCTTTTACACGCAGGTGCTTTTTACACACGCAGACACGCTTTCACACACAAACGCTTTTACACACAGACGCCTTTAAACACAGACACGTTTACACAAACGAAAGCGTCCATCGCAATTTTTCCTCAGTTTTTGACGTCCAACGTCCATTTCGTGCGAAAGGGTTGCGCGGGACGCTTCAAAGTCGCAATTTTTTCCTCAGTTTTTGACGTCTAACGTCCATTTCGTGCGAAAGGGTTGCGCGCGACCAATAAAAGTCGCAATTTTTCCTCAGTTTTTGACGTCCAACGTCCATTTCGTGCGAAAGGGTTGCGTGCGACCAATAAAAGTTGCAATTTTTCCTCAGTTTTTGACGTCCAACGTCCATTTCGTGCGAAAGGGTTGCGTGCGACCAATAAAAGTCGCAATTTTTCCTCAGTTTTTGACGTCCAACGTCCATTTCGTGCGAAAAGGTTGCGCGCGACCAATAAAAGTTGCAATTTTTCCTCAGTTTTTGACGTCCAACGTCCATTTCGTGCGAAACGGTTGCGCGGGACGCTTCAAAGTCGCAATTTTTCCTCAGTTTTTGACGTCCAACGTCCATTTCGTGCGAAAGGGTTGCGCGGGACACCTCAAAGTCGCAATTTTTCCTCAGTTTTTGACGTCCAACGTCCATTTCGTGCGAAAGGGTTGCGCGGGACGCTTCAAAATCGCAATTTTACCTAGGTTTTGGACGTCCAACGTCCATTTCGTGTGAAAGGGTTGCGTTTCGTGGCGCTCCGGCGGCACCGCCCCCGCCTTAAGAGAGAATAGAAGAAGAGCGAGAGGAGATCTGCAGATGTGAGGGTGTGAAGATCTAGATCTGCAGGTGTGAGGGTGTGAAGATCTAGATCTGCAGATGTGAAGGTGTGAAGATCTAGATCTGCAGGTGTGAGGGTGTGAAGATCTAGATCTGCAGGTGTGAGGGTGTGATGATGTAGATCTGCAGATGTAGGGTGTGAAGATCTAGATCTGCAGGTGTCAGGATGTGAAGATCTAGATCTGCAGATGTGAAGGTGTGAAGATCTAGATCTGCAGGTGTGAGGGTGTGAAGATGTAGATCAGCAGGTGTGAGGGTGTGAAGATGTAGATCAGCAGATGTGAAAGTGTGAAGATGTAGATCTGCAGATGTGAAGGTGTGAAGATCTAGATCTGCAGGTGTGAGGGTGTGAAGATGTAGATCTGCAGATGTGAGGGTGTGAAGATGTAGATCAGCAGATGTGAGGGTGTGAAGATGTAGATCTGCAGGTGTGAGGGTGTGAAGATGTAGATCTGCAGATGTGAGGGTGTGAAGATCTAGATCTGCAGGTGTGAAGGTGTGAAGATCTAGTATAACGGCTGCTTTTTTACGAAGAACCCTTCGCAGGCGCTCTCGGGAAAAATCAAGTGAACTATTGATTTTTTTTGTATTTTCAAGTGGCGATTGAATTTTACAAAAAAATATTGATTTTTTCAAGTGAAAAGCAAAAAAAACGATTGAATTTTCGATTGAAAAAAAGGAAAATTCTATTGAATTTTCACTTGAATTTTCTATTGAATTTTCACTTGAATTTTCCATTGAATTTGCCTGATTAGACAAAAGTTCTAAAATACAACGAAATGAGGGTTGCTTCCTTATTTAATGGCTGGATATATATAGCTTTCAAGGGCTGGGCTGGATAGCCCTTGTAGGCTGGATAGCTTCACCTGGATATAGGCTGGATAGCTTCACAAAGCACATGGCAATAGGCTGGAAAGCTTTCAATGGGCTTGAAATGGGCTGGATAGCCCCACAAAGGACATGGCACTAGGCTGGATAGCCTGCAGATGGTTTTCTGCAAATCATTGTGTTCTGCAGGGATCCTTTGACATGTCCAAGTCTAAAGCCCAGAAGGGAGGAGCTAGGAGGAGACAAGTTCCTGACGTGGATGAGGAGCACCTCCTTGACACCTGCCTGAGCCATGTGCAGAAAGCTGGGGTCTGTGCCAGTTTCTGCTTGGGTGCTTACTTCCACCTAGAGTCAAGCAATGCTGTGAGAGGAAGTGCCTTGGGAGAAGTGCAGCATGTGATAAGAGATTTGCTGAAAGTGAGCCCCACCCTAGAGTTCAAGTACTCTATGCTGAAAAGTGTGTTTGGTGAGGTGCTGAAGCAGTTTCCTGACTTGAAGGAGAGGTTCCCAGTCAGCCAGCAGGGAAATACTGCCAAGGCCTTTGCAGATGGGATTTTGGTGGTGTGCAACCATGCCAGGAGAATTGGCAGGGATGAGGGCAGGCTGGCTGAAGCTTGTTCCAAGCTGACTTCGATCCAAGCTGCCAAGCTGGAAGAGATAGCCAGCTGGCTGAAGGCACCAAAGTCAGGAGCAAGCTGTGAAGAAGGTTCTGTGATAGCTGCAACCCCCAAAAAGAAAGTGAAGAAGGAGGAGAAAAAGCAGAGGGAAGGAGTAAGCCCTGGCACAGCAGCTGCTTTGGAAGAGTACCAGATCCCTGCCACCCAGGACCAGGAGTCAGAAGGTGAAAGCTTGCTGGCTTCTGCCAAGAAGGCTGAGCCAATCCCTGTGAGGAAGGGTTTGCTGAAGGCTGAAGTGGCCAAGAAAAGGCCTGCTGCTAAGGGGACCTGCAAGAAGCCAGCTGCTGCTTCTGCACCTGTACCCACTGGCAAGCTGGGAGATGATGAAGCAGTGGCACAGCCCTTGATTTTGATGCCCTACAACAAAGTGGGGAGCTGTGCTGTGAGGATCAAAGGAGGTCGGCAGATCTTGCAAGTGAAGAGTAGCACCCTGGAGCACAGCAAGAAGTTGGCAAGAGATCTGAAGAAGATGCTGGAAAATGGCAAGACTGTGGGTGAGGTGAAGGCCTACAAGGAGAAGAAGCTGAACAAGTAGGGGGACATGTGCAAAGAAAAATGAGGTGTGTGCTGGCACATGGTAAAGTATGCTGGATATATATTTCTGTGGGCTGGATAGCCCAAAGCATTTCTGTGGGCTGGATATCTCAAAACATTTCTGTGAGCTGGATAGCACAAAGCATTTCTGTGGGCTGGATAGCCCAAAGCATTTCTGTGGGTTGGATAGCCCAAAGCTTCTGTGGGCTGGATAGCCCAAAGCATTTCTGTGGGCTGGATAGCCCAAAGCTTCTGTGGGCTGGATAGCCCAAAGCATTTCTGTGGGCTGGATAGCCCAAAGCTTCTGTGGGCTGGATAGCCCAAAGCATCCCTGTGGGCTGGATAGCCCAAAGCATCCCTGTGCGCTGGATAGCCCAAAGCATGTCTGTGGGCTGGATAGCCCAAAGCATTTCTGTTTTGTGATTTGTGGTGTGACCAGAAGTGGGGCTCAAAAACCCTGGAAAGCGCCCAGAGCACCACCTGATCGCCATGGAGGGCAAGGGCAAGAAGGGTGAGGAGAGCAAGGGCAAGAAGGGCTGGGTGGAGAACACCAGTGGCAAGGGAATGCCTTCAGGTGCAGGAGGAGGAGGCAGTGCTGTCTGGAGACAGAACATGAGGGCCCTGATGGAGTTCCACAACCCTGGCATGGATGTGGGCATGTGGCTGCTCCAGATCTGCCTGTACACCCAATCCCACACTGTGATTAACAAGGCAGACTGGGAAAGCTCCAGGATGTTCCTCCAGAGGGTCAAGAAGGAGGTGGCACCAGGACTGGGTTGGGCAGGAAAGAAACCACCACAGGATTCTGCACAATTTTCTTGGGCTGCATAACTATGTTTTATGTTGGGGGTAAATAAGTTTAAGCTATTAAAACATATTATTGCACATATAAAATTGTGGTTGTTGGGCTGGATAGCCTTCAGTTTTTAGGCTGGATAGCCTTGAGCCATAACCATGCACATTCACCAATTTCCTGCTCCCTGGCAGAAATGGTGGAGCAAGATTTCTACGAAATCATGGTGGAGAGGATGAATGAAGCAGTCCTGGGAGCTGCGGCAGCAGCCCAATTAGGGCATGGTGTCAACCCATGGGCAGCCACAGCCAACGAGTGACAAGCAAGGCTGCTGGAGCACCACCCACAGGAGGAGCCACTGCACCACCACCAACTGCAAGAGTCTGGGGACAGGCACAGGAGCACCAGCCTCCACAGGCACAGGAACACCAGCCCCCACAGGCACAGGAGCACCAGCCCCCACAGGCACCACAGGCACAGGAGCACCAGCTTCCACAGGCACAGGAGCACCAGCTGCCACAGGCACAGGAGCACCAGCCCCCACAGGCACAGGAGCACCAGCAGCCACAGGCACAGGAGCACCAGCCACAGCCACAGCAGCACCAGCTGCCAGAGCCACAGGAGCACCAGCTTCCTCAGCCACAGGAGGAGAAGCAGCACCAGCAGCAGATCCAACAGCCGCAGGAGGTTTCAGCACTGCACCCTGGAACAACCCAGGAGCAGGCAAGGGATCAGGAGGAGGGAGGAGCACAGAGGAGCCACCCTTTTCTGCAGCCCCAGCAGCAAACACAGGAGAGGGGTCAGAGTGGGGCTGGAATGACTCAACCTGGGCTGGTTGGAGTGAGTCCTGGGATGGAGGATGGAAGCAAGGATGGGATCAAGATGGCAGCTGCACAGGAAGTTGGGGAGCAGGAGGAGACCAGGGACAAGATTTACCATGGGCAGAAAAGATTTTTGGTTGCTGATCAATATGTTTTTATAGATTTACTTTATTTTTTTCACCACCAAAAAAAAACAAACAACAATTCCTTTTGCCCAGGAGTCCTGAAGAGCTCGAGGACTGGGAAGGGGGAGACAACACCTTCTGGAATGTGATTGAGTCCATGGATCTGGACTATGTGGTGACCCATTGCCAGCTTGGCTGCATTAATCTGTTTGGCTGGACAGCCAATTCTTGGGCTGGAGAGCCTTGAAAACCTTTTTAGGCTGGATAGCCTTGAAAAAAGTTTTTGGCCTGGAGAGCCCACAATTTCACCTGAGCCATTCCCAGGCAAGGAATGCTATCACACCAGCTATGTCACCAAGAAGTCTTGCCTGAGGAGTGCCAAGTGCCAAGGTTGCATGAGAACTTTGGCTGCAACTGGGCTGGCTAGCCACACCTGGGCTGGATAGCCCATCAGTCATGGATAGGCTGGATAGCCTTACTGCCCATCCCAGGATATGGATGCAACAGCTACAGGGGCCGCTCCAAGACTGTAGACTTCATTCGACAAGTGAGGAGAGCTGGGCAATGGGATCTGCTTAGTGAGATTGAAAAGGCCTACAAATAGGCAAGCCCTGGTACAGAAACATGGCTGGTCTGGAAAGTCCAAAATTCAAACCAACAAAAAACACATATTTTTTTTTGTTTTGCTGAAAAATCCAGCCATTTCAAAGAGGGCAAGCCTACCAAAGCAGACTGGCTGGGCTGGAGAGACCAAAATAAATTACAACAAATGACATTAACCTCACAATATTTAGGTTTTTGTTTGATGAGAAGCTCAGCCAGTCAGATGAGGCCCTGTACCATATTTTCTAAACACTCGATCAGCTGAAGAGTTGTGAGGGTACATGTTTTTAAATGCAATGGACAAGAACTTTGGGACCCTCTGCACAGTCAAGACTTTGGCGAGAAAAAATGCTGCTGGAACCATGGGGGGATGTGAAGGGATTGGGCTGGATAGCTGGAGGCTTTGGGCTGGAGAGCCCCTGCAATAATTGAAAACCCATCCAGTATTGATATTTTATGGGCTGGACAGTCCATAAAATGGCATGAGGAGTAGCCCACTCACTATTTCAAACCTATTGGCTGGAGAGCCCATTAAATATTTCAAATCTATGGGCTGGAGAGCCCATTAAATATTTAAAATCTACAGTGTTGGCTGGAGAGCCAATGAAATATGTAAAATCTTTGGGCTGGAGAGCCAGCTAATTATTGAAAAATTCTGAGTTGGAGAGCCTATGGGATATTCTAGGCATAGCCCATTCTATATATGAAATCTATGGGCTTGAGTTCCAAGTAAAGAATTTAAAATCTATTGGCTGGATAGCCAATTATTTTACATATAGATTTTTGGGATAGCCTTGATCCAAACATTTTTTTTTCTTGGGCTGGATGGCCCTGACAAAAAAAAGGCTGAGCAGCCTTGAAAAAAATAGATTTAAACAAAACTACAAAAATATCACATGAACACCCATGAACACCCATGAACACCCATGAACACCCATGAATTCACATGAACACCCCTGAATTCACATGAACACACCTGAAAATCTATGAATCTGAAATATTTTTAAAAAACAAATAAAAAAAAACATTTTTTTCTTTCGAGAAAAAATCATTGTATATTTATTTTTCTGTTTTTTTTGCCAATATATACTTTGGGCTGGACAGCCCCTTGAGCCAAAACAATAAGTACCATTTGCAATAACTATTTTGGACTAGGTATTTGAGCCAGAACAAACACCAACACTTATTTTTTTGGCTGGATAGCCATCAATTTCTTGGGCTGGATAGCCCATTGAGCCACAAAAAAAAACACAACACATGTGATTTGATTTGGCCTCAACTTGAGCAATCTGCTTCAAAATCCAGAAAGCTTTTGGCCGTAAGAGAAAACAAAGACCACAGCCATAGCAATGAAGAGGCCAGCAGCAGCAGCAGGCCTCAAGAGGCCAGCTGCCAAGGCAGAGGAAGAGGATACACCTGAGGGTGCTCACCAGCCACTCACAGCTCAAGCAGTCAAGGACCACAACAAGTTTTGTGAGGAGGCAGCCCAAATGTCCAGTTCTCAGTTTGAGAAGGCATTGAGCTGCTTAGATGAGAAGGCTGCAATGAGGTTGTGGAAGGCTTTTGAAAAGTCCAGGAAA